TTTCAAAATTCAAGTCGTTCTCACAAAAGAGGAGCATTTTAATTGATATATGCAATTATGCATATATTTTGTCATTACAATACATAATCTAAAATGGATTCATTTGAGCTATTAAAAAAACCATAGTGTGGCCGATGTATTTTTTTTATGAATGTTAAATTTGTAATAGATAAAATCAGTGATGAGTATTAATATATAAATATTTTTTTTACTCTTAGTTTGTGCTGTTGGTTTTTATCTTGAGTCACGACGACCCATATAAATGGTGATAAGGGAACATAAATTAACTATTATTGGTGGGCCAAGTCCAAGCTCTTCATAATGGGTTAAGAATATAAGATGCAAGTCCAAGTTACGCAAAATTAACCTCGCATAATAGGGGTGTTAACGAGCCGAGCCGAGCTTTGGTATTAACGGGCTGAGCCTGTGTTCAAATATGTCAGACTGGCCTAAGCCTGTTACCTGTTACGAATATAATATCAGCCAGTGGCCTAGCTCATTTACAAAAAATAAAAGCCTTGTTTAGCCTGTTTTAAAAAAATAATACAACAAAAATTTAGCCAAACAAAATATACAATCAACAGCACTAGTAATTCCATAAATATTCATAAATTTAATGTATATCCAAATAGCATAATATAAAACAAAATCTTTTAAAAAGTCTGTTTAATTAATAAAATGGGATGAAATGAATTGAGAAGAAAGAGAGGGCTATAACAAGTAGTATAAAAAATAAAAAAAATAAAAAAATAATAATATATTAGGCAAACTTGAGAGGCTCTAAGGCCGAGCTTTTGAATTGGAGCCTGAGGCCTTTTTATTAAACGAGCTTTTATACAAGTCCAAGCTTGGGTCCAACAATCAATTTTAGACATGTAAGCTCAGGCCTTCACGAGCCGAGCCAAAGGCCTCTGTAAGGCTCCTGGCTCGTTTAGCACCCCTAAGCAGAATATATACATCAAGGAAAAACTTAAAACATCACAAATCAACCATATTTTTACATTTTTTATAATTATCATTACTCTTTTAATGCAATCCAAACGATGGGAATTGATAGAAATATATGGGTGAGACATTGGAGATTAAGAATTAATGAGATTACCAAAAAAAAAAAATTGATGAGATGCTAGAATCATGTATAACATGTGACACAATCATGTAATAAGCGTAATTGAATTTTTTCATGTGAGATACATGACATTGTCTTGTAAAAATCGGAACTGAAATTGTGCAAATTGTGCCTCTTACATACAAGTTTGATATATTATGATTTTTTTTTTTCAATTAGTATTTGAGTTTGTGATGTATGATATAATATTAAAAGTAAAAGTAACATAAATAGAATGAAATAATATTTATTTTTTTTATTTCAAATTAAAATATAGAAAGAATATAAGTTTATCAGAAATAAAAAGTTTTAAGAAAAATGTTCGTGGTTTAAAGCAACGCAATATTGGATTTTTTAAATGAAACAATTGTTTTTCACTTAAGAAAACCCTTCTCTATCATGATAATTTAGTTTCACAAACTTTCATTGCCCTCTTTCCCTATTCTTTTCAATGCAATTAATTATATATGGTGTAATTGGTGTTTTCATTCTCCTTTGGTAATAAGAAATATTGTCATGTAACCATACTCATTACTTGCTGAGATGGGCAGAAATAAGATATTGTCAATATATTTTAACCGATAGCAGTGGACACTTGGATTGATCTCCTAATAATTGGTGGCAATAATGATAGTGATAGTATAAATGTTAAGATCAGTATAGGAGGAGAGGTGCACGAGTGCTCAAGTGGATTTAGGAGTGTCGATCCATGGCTAAGGAATGAACTTTGTTCAGTCTTGTGTTTTTATTGTATATTTTTGGGCCAATGCATGGTCAAATTTGAAGATTCTTGACTTGAAAAGGTTTTTTTTCTTGGTATGCTGTAAAGGTCTTTTTAAATGAAGTGTTGTACCTAAAAAGAATAAACGAAACAGAGCAATTTGAGAAATTATGATTTTTTTTTTTTTTTACTTTGTGTGGAGTTGATGATTTGGTTATTACTAGTTTATAATAATAAGAAAAATTATAAATCAACAATTATCAACAAATGTATTAAAATGAAATCACGAGCAAAAAAAATAACTTCACCTTCTACTAACTCTAACTCTTGTGATAACTCGAATGGTTCAAACTCCTTATTTTTTAATATTAGGCAGTTGTATAGGTTTTTATTTATACGCGACTGAACCATATCTAAGCAACTTGACGAGTGTTGGAGTCTTAAAAAATATTAATATAAAATTATTAACGTGGATATTATTTATAAATTTAATCTTCTAGGTTGATATCAAAGTTTGTGATCAAATTCATGTTTAAGAATCTTTGTGCATGAGGAGGCTTAATGGCAGGTTCAACCAACTGCTTCCATGAAAGAAAATTGGTGAGAAATGATTGGTGGATATTTCTTTTATCTATAATTATGGACGTAATTAAATTTGATTTTTTAACTTAAGGTGAAGGCATGATAGGAAGATGGATTACAGACCAGTTTCAATGAGCTTTTTTTTAGCCATAAACTATTTTTTTTTCCCGAAAAAAGCACTTTTATTATAAAGTTTATTTAAATGTTTGTTTTAAAAATAAAACAGAAGTCATAAAAAAAATTAATTTCTTTTCTTGGAAGCTAAAAATTTTAACTTCTAAAAAAATCAGAAGTCAAAAGTCAAATATTTTTTTCAAAAATCAAATATATTTTTTTCAAAATCTAAATTGCTTTAGTTTTTGTAAAAAAACACTTTTAAAATAAGAAAGACATAAAAAGTCATTTTTTAACAAACCTATCCAAACGGCTCTAGGACATGAGGGTGTAATACCGAAGAATTTCAGAGAAAAAATGAAAGAAAGAGGAGAGAAACATAGGGAGACATAGAGAACCAAATTTAAATATTTCTAATTTTGTTTGATTTGAGTGTTTCAACCTATGTAGCACTGATACGACACGCGACACGTAACACGATACGACACGACACTCTGACACGTCAATCTTAAAAAATTATGGATTTCGACACGTTGGGACATGTTTTAATATTAAATAATATTTTTAATTTATATAGTGTATATTTTATTTAATATTTAATAATTTAACAAAAAAATGAAACTAAATTAATAATACCCATGAGAGCTTTAATAAAAAAAAAATAAGAACTGAGATGAGAGATATATAATATCAGATAGAGAGATCAAATCATATTAGAGAGAGATAAGGAGATACAACAAGAGCGTGATAGAAATTGACAACAATGATGCTGAGATTATCTCTTATCTACTTAAGGGGAAAAAAGACAAAAAAATAAAATTGATATGATAAGGTAGAAGCTTTATTAATATATTTTAATTTTTTTAAAAATAATTTTTTTAAAAAAATTAAAAAAAAAATACGAAAATGTCATTTGATCGTGTCGGACACGGTCAAATTCGCGTGTCAGAATGGTCAACGTGTCGGAAAAAGTTGACCGCGTGTCCGACACCTCGGAGCGTGTCGCCGTGTCGGAACGTGTCGGACACGACTCTCCCTGTTTTTGCAAGTGTCCGTGCTTCCTTGGTTTCAACTTAATCTCCACAATTTAGTTTCAAATCAGTGGCAGTGAACTAGTTCAAGTGACTTGCTGGCTCGTCAAAACTTATTTACTAACAGAACATAAGCTTTTAATTATGTACTAGATTTCTCCTCTAAAAGCAGAATGTATTGGTTAATTGTTGTATTTGTTGGTCCCATATGAACTTAAGATACATTGAATTGACTTATATAATTTTTTTAATTAAATCAATGCAAATTTAAATATAATAATGTTAAACAATTAATATTGCAAAAAGATAACTCAAATAATTAGGTGATAAAAACTCAAAGGGGGGAGTAGTGGCCCTAATTCAATTACTTATATCTGATTGGGAGACAAATCCACTATAATAAGTCAAGCTCAACTCAAAATACAAATATAAAATATATTCTCCACTTATAAAATAATTCACCTAAACTCATCTCTAGATTTAACCACCCTAATTTACCCAAGTAAATTGCATCCAAATTGTCAAACTCCAACAATAACAATTGTCCTTAACTCGGTTTAAAACTAATCCCAAAGTGCAAGTTCTCAATTATCATTAGAAAATTGCACATTATTGTCTATTTAACAATGGAAAATGTTATATTTACAATATATTTTCGTTTACAACTTCTTATAATCATATCTTAACTGTTAATTTTTGTCACGATTAATATTTGCGCAAATCAAATTTATTAAATAATTATTAATTCGTAATAAATGACAACAGTTGATTGGTGAAAATCAACGGTTAAAATATAAGGGGAAGGATATTGTAACAACCAAGTTGTGTTACTACCATGTTACTACCAATCAATCTCACCGTTAGATCGTTTATGCTGATCTAACGGTTATATTCATTTTCATCTTTGTATGGTCATGATTTCTCAAATTTAAAGTGAAAGCATTAAATATGAAAAATCATAACCATACAAATGTGGAAATAAATATAAAGTATTAAATTTGGGAAAACATGACCACACAAAGATGAAAATAAATATAACCATTGGATCAACATAAACGATCTAACAATAAGATTGATTAGTAGTAACATGATAGTAACACAACTTGGTTGTTACAATATCCTTCCCCAAAATATAATTATAAAATATTATAAACGAAAATAGGTTGTAAGTATAATATTTTCCCTTTAACAATATTTAAAACAAAATCACAAAAGAATAATTTGAGAGTTACCTTACACGCTTCAAATCAATAGGCAAATATGTGAAAATGAAACTTAGGAGGTGAACTCAATGAATTTGTTCATTGGTTGCCAAATTATCTTAAATGCTTGATAAGAAATATTTACAATCCACTTTTTCTCTTGAAAGCACACGATTCAGGTCACTTTAATCTTGGCGTGAACAAAACCACACAGTGGCATATCATCAAACACCAAAACAGCAATGTTGTTCTGCGTGCGTCACTTGAATATGGTGGTGCAGCAATTCGATATCCATCAAACCCTCAAATCCGAAGCGTCTGTTTCAGTCACTGCATCTCTTTCTCTTCTTCACCCCCACAACCGCAACGCTGTTCAACTCTTCAACTTCAAATCTCTCTCACTATCCACACAGCAAAAAGATGCATCATCTCCCTCACCACTTTTACCGCTCCACACGAGAAGCCTAAGTCCCATTTACAACAAAACTAAAACGACGCGTTTGATTGAATTGTATTTGAATCGTGGCAAGTTTGAGCTTGCGCGCCATGTGTTCGAGGAGAGTCTTGACAGAGATGTTAGTGTGTGGGGTGCTATGATTAATGGTTTGGCTCGTAATGGGTTGCCAAGTGAAGCATTGGAGTACGTAAGGTTGATGATAGAAGAAGGAATAAACCCGAATTCGGATTTAATGACAGTTACGACTGTTACGGAAGTTATGACAGTTATTCTTCATGCCATTGGGGAAGTTCGTGCTAGGAGGCTAGGCAAGGAGGCACATGCTGTTGTGGTGAAGACGAATTCATGCTATGAGAACTTGTTGATTCAGTCTGCATTGTTTGATATGTATTGCAAGTGTGGGGACATTGGCTCTGGAAGCCGAGTTTTGTATAGTTTGATGTTGAGAAATGGGGGTTGTTGGACTGGTGTGATTTCTGGTGGGAGACTTGAGATTGCGATGAGGTCGAAGATTCGGTTGAAAAGGTTCCGGCCTGGTGTTGTAACGGTTGCGAGTGTTCTTCCGGTTTGTGCGCGGTTGAGGGCTCTGAAACAAGGGAAGGAGATTCATGCTTATGCCTTGAGACATTGGTTTCTGCCTCATGTGTCTATAGTTTCTTCGTTGATGGTGTTGTACTCCAAGTGTGGGGTGATTGAGTATTCAGTTAGATTATTTGATGGTATGGAACAAAGGAAAAGGAATGTGATTTTGTGGACAGCCATGGTTGATTCGTATGTGGAAAATGAACTTATGGGTGAAGCACTTGGTGTCATGAGGTTAATGCAGTTGACAGAGCATAGGCCAGACACAGTTACCATGGCAAGGATGCTGCGTGTTTGTGGCGAACTGAAACTTGTAAAGCTTGGGAAGGAGGTTCATGGGCAGGTTTTGAAAAGGGATTTTGCTTCAGTTCATTATGTTGCTGCTGAACTTATTGATATGTATGGGACTTGTGGAGTTGTTGATAAGGCTAAGTTGGCATTTAATGTGGTGCCTGTTAAAGGTTCAATGACATGGACTGCTCTTATAAGGGCCTATGGATATAAAGAATGGTATCAAGGAGCAATTGAGCTTTTTGATCAGATGATATCAAGTGATTTTTCTCCAAACCAGTTCACTTTTGAAGCTGTTTTATCTATTTGTGATAGAGCTGGTTTTGTTGAAGATGCTTTTAGGATCTTCAATTTAATGTCAAGATATAAAATTAAAGCATCCAAGGAACACTGCACTATAATGATTCGACTTCTTACCCGCTATGGTAAACTAGATGAGGCTCAAAGATTTGTAGAAATGAGTTTTTCCTTATAGCACAGGGCCAGAGGCAATAGGACCTTCACCTGGGCCAGGGGCAATAGGACCTTCACCTTCGAATGATTTATAGGTTGTTAAAATTCTTAAACCATGTTTATTAAATAGTTACAAGCAGCTGATTAAAGTGACATTGTGCAGGCATGTAACTTTCGGCTAAGGATCCATGTATTTAATATTATTGGATTAATATATATTCAGGAGATCGTGGTGTGATTGAGTACACCATTCATCATCTATCGCTCTTTTTCTATGTTTTCTCTGAACATTACTATTGTAGCACACCATGGCTTGTGATTTTGGACCGGATGAATTTTTTTTCTCAAATGATAGATCATAAAAGAAATCATATGTGTTATGTGTATTTGGTAGATGAACGTTCTAGCGATTTCTCACAATCAGGGGTGGACCCAAGGGGGGCTCGGGTGGGCCCCGCCCCCCCTAAAATCATTCTTAACTTTTTGTTTCAAAAAAAACTTCTATACATCATTAGCAGTCAAATGGCTAGTGTTAATGGATATACATATGGGAGTCAATTGATTTTCAGGTTCAGTTTGATGTGAAAGACATAGTTTGGTGTTGTTTTTAACTCTTCAGGTAGTTGATTTAGCTATAGTTCCAAGTCTGTAAACCTCACTGCCATTCATTGCAAAGGATTTGTTGAAGAATGTGGTATTAATCCAGTATGTACCAAGACTTGTGCGGATCTATCCACTATTCAAAGAAATAACTAGAACTTCTAGCATATTGCCTGAGACAGCATGGGTTGGAGATGCTTCTAATCTTTCTCTATATATTCTAGCAAGTCATGTAAGCTGATTTTATTACTTAATCAGATACACTTATCTATGTTCATAGTTATCATGCAGTTGCTACTATGACAACAAATGGTGGAAGAACTCGTTTCTTCAACTCCTTAATTCTCAAGGCTGGTGACTTCTGCGAAGAGGAGCTTCTAACATGGGCTTTGGATCCCAACTCCTCCTCAAATGTACCCACTTCAACTAGAACAGTAGAAACTATATCAGAAGTTGAAGCCTTTGCTCTCATGGCTGATGACTTGAAGTTTGTTGCTTCCCAATTTCGACGTCTTCACAGCAAACAGCTCCACCACACTTTCAGGTAAGGCTTGATATCAATGCTAGTTTCTTCTTCTTCTTTTTTATCTTTGATGATGCATGATTACATTTTGTGGAAACAAGGTGCAGATTTAATTCAAAACCATAAATTTTGTTTACGTTCTTATTCTGAGAGTAACTTGCTTATATAGTCCCATCAAACTCATTTTAATTATAAACTTATATTAGCAAATAAAAGCGTTATAAAAACTATATGAGGACCAATCTTAGAGTAGTAGTCATTGTTCATAAAAGCACTAGAGCGTATAACAAATACATGTGGACATGTGGGGTTATGGTAACGATCTTAAAATCAATTGTCTCTTAAAATTAGAAGAAAAAAAAAAGTTTCTTAACATCATTCAGCAATTTGTTTATTCAGGTTCTATTCCTCCCAATGGGAGACATGGGCTGCATGTTTCATACAAGCAGCTTGGCGTCGATACTGGAAAAAGAAGATTGAGAGGTCATTACGTGAAGCAGAAGACAAGATAGCTTGCGTCAGAATGATTACTAGAATGCGCAGCAGAGCTTGAGCCTTGGAATACCTAGCTTAGAAGTAGCATTGATTTACTCTCCTTACATTTTAAATTTAAGCGATTGTTTTAGTGATGGTGTACAACTCAGATTGTGGTCGGAGAGATGAACAAATATTTGATTTTTCACCCCCCACAAGAAAAAATCATGTGTCCGCCACTACTCACAATTGGTATTTGAGAACATCTTCTATTTGGCTAATGCTTTGCCTTAAATTACTTGTTCTTAGGTTCTTTTAAAATATAAAATTTTAAGTATTTTTCAGTACCTTGTATATTTCTGATAGTTGCTTTTTTACGTTCTGGAACTCTGTTTTGTTATGTCGAATTTTTCCATCACGTACAATTTACAAAGTATTGCGGTTTTGAAACAATAATTTTGATTTCATTTTCTGGGTTAATTAGGTGGGTTGCCATATGCTGCATCCCTGCTTGCCCAATCGATAAGATCAGAAGTTTTGGAACCGTAGTCGCCGGCGACACCATCACATGGCTTCCACTCCAGGTACACCTGATGATTTTCTTAATGTTGTGTTCTATGAGTATTTTCTAAAATTGGTTTCTTTTTTTATGAGCTTTTGTCACTTGATATTAGTTCAATGAGTCACTGTTATTATTTGAGGTATATAATAAACTCGATTCGTAGATAAGTAAAACTTATAATTTTTCTGTTATACTCTCCTTCACATGAGTGTTTTTGTTAATTTGAGTTTTATTATTATGGTTGCGTTGCAGACACCTTTCTCCAAATTTCAATCATGTCTTTAGTGGTAGTCATCAGGGATGTTACAATCAATTCAAAATCACTTGATTTACCTTCAGACTATCCTATTGTTATGAGTTCAGATAATATCATACCTAATTTGAGGTTCGAACCTAAAGAGGAATCTTTCTCATCTCTCATAAAGCCCCTTTTTGGATGGACAATTTCACAAACTGATGCTGAAATCATTGACATTAGCAGAAAGTTCTTTACACTGCTAAAGTTGAAGCTCTACAACATTAATGATTTGGTAAAGGGTGAGTTTATTGGTGATTTGAATACATATCTAGAAAACATCGGGGACAAAGTAGGGGTTTTGATTGGGATTCATTCATTTAGTAGTGGTTATAGCAGGTTCTTGATTGACAAACTAGGGTCTTTCATGGGTAAAGATAACTGGCCTGGTTTTGGATGGGTGTGTTTCTTTGGAGATTTGGGAAGTAGTTGAGGCTTTGATTGTTAATGGTATTATTGAGCGTTCTTATTATTCAAACCTGGTTACCAGATTATTGGAAAAGAAGAGGTCTGATTTGCTCTGTTTATGTATTAAGCATGCTTTTGATCTTGGTTCTTCTGAAATACTCAGCATTTTGAGGCATTCTCTTTCTCCATCCAAGGATGCTTATAGCAGTATGGTAACTGTAAAGAAGAAGTGGGAGAACCAAGCACTGTTAGCCATTGAGAAAGTAAGTGATAGCAACCTCAAGTGGAAGAATTTGCTTCTGGCTAAGGAGGCTTCCATTTTGCTTATGATAGCATATGATGGTTTCTCTGCATCTGAGCTTTGTTTGCATTATCTGACTGCTCCGTCAAACATCAATGATGTGATGTTATCCTCTTCATTCAGTAAGTTGAGCGCCAAAAAATTGATAAATTTGATTCGCTATTTATCAAAGTGGTTGAAGTAATATGAGAGGTTTCCTCAAGCAGTTCCGTGTCAAAAAGCCAAATCAGTTTTGGGTTTGAAGGCTTGCAATTGGGTTCCTAAACTTGAAGATGTTGTAAAATGTCTTGGTTTGGTTCTTGATGTGAATTTTTCTTCATTGGTGTTACATCAACAGTTTCATGAGGAGCTGAGATTAATTGAAGGGTGGTTAGTTGTTAACTGCTGAAGCCAAGCTTTGTTACTTGATGGCTGATATGGTGGACAAACCAAACATCGAAGTAAAAGGTGGAAATAAGTGAGCCCTTGCGAAGATTCATTTTTGTTTATGTGTTAGGCATTTTTGTTAATGATGTACCGCTGAATGAACTGATGAGGATCATGTTTTATGTTGTTGAGGATCGTGACTGCAATTCATTTAGAGGTTCATTTCTTCTAATATATCCCATTTTTTTTTAAAAAAAGTACTTTTTTTTACTGCTTGTTTAGTTTAATTAATTTTGGATTCTATATAGTATATAGTTGCCACTCTATAATAGAATTGAGAAATGAGAACCACTGTCAGTCAAGTTTCTCAATTTATAACTAAATAGAATTCACTTACATTCACCTACATTCAATTCTATATATAGTACATTCACGCACCTGTAATAGATTAAGGGTTTTATAAGAGTTATGTTGTAGAAAAAATGATTGTGTAATATTATAGAGATTCGTTTTGCGTGCTTTAGTTTTTTTTTTTTGCTCCAAAAAGTGCGGGCTCCACAAAATGTTATGTGTGTAGGAAATTTTTTTTGTGTCATCTGACATGATAGATGCAAACCCCATAGATTAAATACCCAATGTGATTCTGTTTCGAAAGAAAGCTATATCTATTATAACTATTTTATGTAAACCCTCAACAACGAGGAAAATGGAAATTATGAGTTGAAGATTGGTTAAAACATTTGTATTTATAGTGGAGGGGATGATCAGCTTTGGAAGTGCCCGCCCCTGCAAATTGCTTGCAAGTGGTGAGGCAGCAAACTATTTCAGTTGGTGCTAGTTTTAGGTGGCTTGAGATGGCTTTTGCAGAAGAGTTGCAGATGTAATATTTCTGAGATGCTGGCAGACTTTGTTGACTTTAAGATATTATCTTGAAGATACCTTTCTTCTTGGTAAAGGCTTTAAATACGAGCCTTATATTATCACTCTAGATCACAGCTATATGGGAATATGGCTGGAGCTTTTCAAGTGATGGTGCTCGGAGTTCAAGCTCTTGACAAGAGAAACGTTTATTCTGGTTTCAAGGAAAAACTTACTAAGATATCTGCTGCTGAGATGTCTTCTAACGTGCTTTATGTCATGAACTTATTATATATACATCCATTTGTAAGATGTAGAACCAGAAATGTCAAGAGGGTGCCCTTTAGTTCATGTTACTTTTTTTCTTTTGGGATTTTGTCAAACCTAAAATTGCTTCATGATATGTGTTGCTGAGTTTCATTTCCTATTCTATTGTTTTGCTGACAAAAGATATCCATACAAAAGTCAAATATGAACAAGATAATCTGATTCTCAGGAATTTGCATTTTTTCCTGCCTCTTTCTAACCTTCCATTTATTCATTCATTCTTTCTTTCTTTCTTTATATATATATATATATTACCTCGAATAAATATGGCCTAATATTTGAAAATTTTCATTTTTAGAACAAGTTAGTGTTGAAATTTGTATAGACAATCTATTAGTTATGAATAAGAAGTGGGTTAAGTAAGAAAAGAAAAGAGGGAAGTTGAAGGGATGTGAGTTTTAAGAAGTCCCACATTGGACAACTAGTAAAAGGTGAGAGAGTTTATAAGCTCTCACCTCACACTCCTAAATTGTCCCTTGGGGCACTACACTTTTGTGGAGGGGAGAAGAGTTAGGTGGCTTTTGGTCCACAACACGCGCGTGCGCGCGCGCGCCGCCACCGTCCATGTGTGTGAAATTAATAATTCAATAATTTTAACATACACGTACGTTTGGGTAAGTCATAATGTGGCCCAAATGATAATAGCAGTTCAAACTCATTTGCAGAATAAAATGTAGAACATGTAAATTTGTTATGAAGTTAGTTTTGGTGCTCTCTCGTTCATTTCTTTGAGTTCCTGAGTTTCAATATGGTATAAGAGCTATCAAAGCTCTGATATCCGCTTCAGAAATCAATTTCAATTTCTTTCATCTTGTTTACTGTCAATGAATTCTTAGTTCTTTACTTTTGATAATGGCGAATCAAATCCAGCTCCCAGAATACCTGACAAATCCTGCTCACCCATATTTCTTGCATCGAAATGAGAGTCTATCGCAGATTCTTGTAACTCCACCACTGAATAGCCGTAACTATCACTCTTAGTCTCGTCCAATGTCAATGGCACTAAGATCCAAGAACAAGCAATGATAGTACCAAATGCTGATGATCCACTGTTTGAAGCATGGCACAGATGCAATACCAAGGTCATGGGATGGATCCACAGATCCATAACACAAACTATAACTCAATCCATACTTTGGATAGAAAAGGTTGCTGATGCATGGAGAGATCTAAAGGATCTCTTTTCACATGCAGATGTTTTTCGTGTATCTAATTTACAAGAGGACATTTATAAATTATGCCAAGGAGAGAAGCCTGTAAGTGACTATTTTACACAACTAAAAACAATGTGGGATGAATTAGAGGTTTTGAAGCCTCTTCTCACTCCTACAATGCCATATGCTTGTGGAGCCATAGAGCAAATGCGATTGTATCGTGATAGAGATCAAACAATCCGATTCTTGAAGGGATTGAACGAGCAATATACTCAGGTAAGATCACAAATAATGTTAGCTGATCCTTTACCTAATGTGACCAAGGCATTTTCACTGATTTCTCAACAAGAGCGTTAGTTTCATTCTGAAAGTGGTGTGAATTTTCAAAATAATCCTCAAATTTTGGCTGCGATTGGAGACAATAGAAGATATGGTCAATTTAATGGAGGAAGAAGCTATAACAGTCAATTCAAGGGAGGAAGAGGCCGCGGACGCAACAATGCTGGAAGAGGATCAAACAACTCAAGGCTATGCACTCGTTGTAACAGATCGAATCACACTATCAAAACCTGTTACCTTCTTCATGGCCTCCCTCTTGGATATAAAAGGAGCAACTCGAATAATGTCAATGTTGTTAATTCCAATGGTACTACTGTTTAAGCAAATACCACAACCACTATAAATGCATAACACATGAACATAGTGATGATCCAGGATCAGTATAAAAGAATCCTCAACTTACTGCAGCACCAGAATAATTTAGACAATGGACAAACACCACACTCAGCCAATGTTGCTCATACATCCC